ATTATTTTAATCTTTTCTAAGTTATTTTTAAGTTATTGTTACATTATGTTATGTAGGTTAGATTTTAGTATCATTTCCGTTCTTTCCCTCCTCCGCCATCAGTTTACACCGCCACCTTCGTCTATCATCAAAAGTAAAGTGCAAATAAAACTATATATTTTTAAAATTAATTATTATTCTATTATGGTTATTTATACATTTACAACTACAAAATGCATTTTTCAGTGTTTTCCTTACTATATTTATTATTATTTTTTAATGTACTACTTAGCTTTAATTTGAGTGTTTTTTCGTTGGAACGAATTATTTGGTTTTACATGTAATCGTATGAGGAAAAATAATTCACCTTACGACATTTTCATGATACGATCTCAGTTTCGGAACGAATTAATTTCGTATCCTGAGGTACCACTGTACTGTCAGGAATAGATGAATAGCAATAGGAAAAGCAAAGTTTTTGAATTGAATTCCGAATTGAATTCCGAATTGAAATTCCAAAAATTTTTCCTTAAAGTTTAAAATGCCAGTAATTTTGGCAGGACAATGTGTGCATTTACATTCATTTGATATTTTATTTGTGATGAAACAAAACAAAATTAGAATTGTATAAATAAATCTAATTTTTTTTTATTTTGATCTTTAAAAAGTCACACCTCATCCTATATGCGAGATTGTCTTACATGTGAGTAAATACATAAAATTTTTAAAAAAATTGTCATTAACTTATCAGCTTTTATTCTTTTAACTAGTAAAATAATTAAAATTAACAGTTAAGTTGATGTATGTTAATCTTAAAATGTTTTTGGACCTTTTTAAGGCCATCTTTAGTGTAAATTCTTCTACAATAAATAACTGAACAAAACAACTACTATTATGTTGAGATGGATGTTCAAACTTTGGTCGTTTCCTTTGAATTTTTAAATCATTTTTTGCATTGGAGAATTCAAATAAGAAGAATGATGGATGTACTGGATACATGACCCAATCCACAGAACAAAAATTGGAATACAAAACTGAAACACAAACAAAATAAAATATACTTAGTATAAATCACTATAATTCAAAGAGATTTTTTTGAAGCAGTGGAAATGGTACTACAGTCTTTGAAATTAATACAATTGATGTTCCTTTCAGAGAAGTAATGATTGATTGATCTCCTTTCTGAGATTGATGTTTTTTTCTGATTATTTCAATGGTCTTAAACCACATTTCTGTATATAACTAGATTACTGCAATAATTTGATGTACAGTGTATAAGTAGCTCAGACACCTAAATCCAAGAAAGAACACACATTTATTAAATGACTAACAATTTATTGATAGTTTTTTTATTTTAAAATTTTGTTTTTTGTTTAGACATTCAACAAATTTTTATTACCAGTTTCCTGTAGAATTTGGTCAGTATAGCCATCTACTAAATAATAAATGACCTAAATACTTGATAATTGAGGAAGATTGCTAAAAGCAATTGAAAACATTTGTTTTTTTCCAACATTGTGTTTCATAAGCTGGATTTTTGTTCTCAGTTCAATTTTTTTCTGTTCTAACATCAGAACCTGAGAATGACCTTAAAACAAAGTTGAAAATGTTAGTTCATTAATAAATTTGTGTTCTTTGCTGGATTTCGGTATTTATACATCTCTGTCTATCTGTATATCAAAGCAGCTTCCAGAAACAAAATCCTTATTTCTGGGTTGGATCATTCAATTGCGCCTTGAACGCCTTGAATAACGGACACGGCAAACAATGGACTTTCTGTTTGGCCATTACGTGACTTGAGCAACAGACTGGCTGCGAACAATGGACTTTCTGTTCGGCAGTTACATGAGGCGAACAATGGACTTTCTGCAAACAAGTGCGAATGATGATTTCACTGTTTTGCCATTGCCAATGACAATTTGCTATTTTTATAATATATTAGTATTATTAGAATATATTATTACTATATCTGAAGTACAGAGCTCCTGTTGGGATTTGGCTTGCTCCTTGTTTATTATGTACTATGTATCACCTCAGTGCAGGGTATTTACATTTTATTCAGGTGTTGTGCAAATCATGGCTTCTAAAAAAATAAAGGTGATTTCAGTTTTAATAAAGCAAGAAATCATCAGGAGGAGTGAAAGTTGACAAAAACTTCCTTGTCAAATGGGGAGAAGTTCAGGAGTTTACCAACACTCAATATCCAAACAGAGCTGAGGCCAACAGGGATCAATGATCTCTACACTGACACCCTTGCCCGTCATTTCCAACAGGTGTTGAAGAAGAGAGAGAAACAGACCACCTTGGACATGTTTTTCAAGAAACCAGCTGCCAAAAAACAAAGGACGGAACAAGAGTTGACCCTGCAAGCTCCAGTAGCCTCTCCTGAATCTGACACTGATTAAAAAAACAATAAAAAGAGACCTGCTGCAATGTGTAAAAAGTGTGTATCTGTATGAATGTGTGAAGAAAGTGTTCCTTCACCTCCTCCTCACAACATCTGACTACCCGGCGTAATTGGTGACTGCTCCGTTTTCATTTTTTTTTTATAGTACAGTACGATTATTTTATGCTGTGGAACGAATTGTGTGTTTTAACATGTATTTCTATGGGAAAATGCATTTCGTATAACGGACTTTTCACTGAACGGATGTGCACCTGGAACAGATTAAGTACATTATACGAGGCACCACTGTATTTAGATAATTTATTATTTAGTAGATGGCTATATTGACCAAATTCTATAGGAAACTGATAATTCAAATTTGTCAAATGTCTGAACAAAAATCAAAATTTTAAAATACAAAAACTATCATTAAATTTTTAGTTGGATGCCTAGGTGAATAAATCTTTATTAGACATCCTGTCTTTATGTTTGAGGTATGTTCATGTATCTTTGCATGGAAGGAATGTGAGATTGCTCTGATATATTCTCTTTTTATATATCTCATATTAAGCACTGGTATACTATATATCTGGAATCGTGAAGGTATTGTACAATACATTCATTCAAGTTTAGTTTTCATTAGTAAAATAATTAACATTACAAATAAGATTTTAGGCTTGTAAAATTGAATTATAATAATTAAATACTTTAATAGTCAGTTAATAGTCCAATAAACTTTTAAAAGTTTATTTTTTTGCTAGCTAGTTTGCTGGAGTTTAATTGAATTTGTTTTGTAAAAATATAAACATTTTATGCTAAGAAAATATTGAAAAATGGTAGCAAGTTTTATATTGAGAATGAACAAATTCAAAAAAAATTATTTCTGAAATTATTTAGAAATAACCATAGGCTATAAAGTACATGCTTACAATATTACAATCATAAAACTTTATAAAAATTGCAAACAATAACAAAGAAATCTGTTACTCCAACATTACCAATTTCAATGCCACCTCACCTGCGATGATGTAATGTCACAATTTGTGTGAAAGCAAAAACTGTTAATACACAATAGAAATGAAAACAGATTAAGTATTTATTAAAGATTAATTTTTTATCTCTGGTCAAAGACTGACTTTCGACATCACTCTATGACTGGCTAGAGAACTTCAGAATCTGTCTAAAATTTATATTTTAGACATACTGTGAAATCATTTCTAAGCCTGAAAGTTTGTGAGTAGGTGAGGTCCTGTATATATAACAACAGAATCAGAATCTTCTGATTCTGTTGTTATATATACAGAATATACAGATTCTGTTGTGTTCCTTTCTGATAAAACTTTGCAGATATAATCATACATAATAAATCTTTTATGATAGATTATATTTGTTACTTGTTTTAATATTATTTGTTCATATATTATATAATAGATCATATTTATCATACTGGTGGCTATTTTATATTATAATACATCATATAATTATTAACAATTATAAAAATTCATGTAAAATGTTGCTGATGATACATATTAAAGTACATGCTTAAAATTTTGTTTGAAGTATCTATAACTTTACAGATTTCATGAAAGAATTCTTTGAATATATATTGATACTGTGTGTGTGTGTGTTTATTTATTTATTTATTTATTTTTTGTAACAAAAGTTATATATTAAATTTTTTTGTTGCAATTTTCTTTGGATGTTTATCTATTTATACAAATAGTATATTATAGATTTTTATTAAAAACACTAAATTCATAAATCAGCAAATTTTTATAANAAACATCTGAACCTTTTTAAACACTGTCAAAGCTAAACTTTAAACTTTTTTATAAAATTTTATGTTTCGAAATATACTAAAATATAATATAAAGAAGACAGTTTGAAATCTTGTAAATAAATAAATAAATATAAACTAAAAAAAATCATCATTTTGCAACGTGCAGCTATAAATTTACAATTAAGAATTCAAAACTTTTTAACATTTTATTAGAAATATTTCAGATAAATTGCGGATGTTTAAAATCTTTCTGTAATTCGATATTTTAATTAATGTATTTCAAATAAATAAGTAACGAAATACTAAATTAATGTTGTGTAAACAAATCTAGAATATAGTTATAAAAAACTATTTTAATGATAATTTTGGCTATAAAAATACGTGTTTTATTTTTAATAGCTTGAAAATAAAAATGATATAACATTACTCATCATAACTGAAATTATTATAATTACCTGACATTTACATAGAACAGATTTGTTATACACAAGTATTAAATATAAAATTTAGTAATAAAAAGTCAATATTCCGTGACACTACGCGATAACAATGTTCAAGCATGATGAAGCTTTTTATTACGATCCGTATCACGAACATTATTAAGCTTTAGAAAGAAATAACATTACTTTCCTCATTTCGGGCAAGATTCTCACTATTAAGTTATGAATAAAATAATATTTTATAAAACAAAATTTAATATATTTACTCTTCACGCCATCTGTTAGCATTATTCAGTACTAAAAGTATTTTTCTGACAAAAATATATCAATTTTTTATTCGATTCCAGCATTAAATATATAAAATAATATATATATTTAATAAGTATTATATTTATAATGTGTGTTTAATAATTAGTTGGAGAGATGCTGAAAATACAAGAAAGCAAACAAGAGATTGTAGAGGAATGTGGGATCAGAGAAATGGTACTGCTACATATGAATCAGATGATGGAGATTGGAGTCATCCATTACCACGTGATGAACGTATTGAAAGGTATAACATCAGCAAGAATTGTATTTCTATTTATTTATAGATATCAACATTACAAAAGAATAACTATGAATGTAAAACAATTTAAAATTAAACAATGTAAAACAATTAACAAAATAAAGCAATTTTAAAAAATTTGTTTATTTTAAATTGTTTTGTACTTATTAGTAGCTGATATATTGCACAAATCTGTTTTATTTGTTTGTACTATTTGAGCAACTGTCTTATTCTTTGGTTCAAATTTATATAAAATAGTCATTTCACATTATTATTATTATTCTATTATTAAGTGTTTCATTTCATAAGGAGTACTATACTGAAAATACAAAAAAGGTAAATAAATACAAAAACAAAATAATCAATATTCTGTTTTGAAAGTAAACAAAATAGAGGAATGCTTAGAGATTAGAAGTTTCTTTTTCAATATTGCATTAGCCCAATGTTAAAATATTTCAAAATTGGCTTCTTAATGAGTTTATCAAGTGAGCAAGGTCACCTGATATGTAGACTGAGGATTTCTAACTTCAAAATAAGCCTGTCTTGGTCATATATAGGACAATAATAAATCATATGTTCAAAATGTTGAAATTAACAGTACCACAGAAGCAAAAGGCAATGTGTATAAGGTTATACATTGCAAGGAAGCATCTAAAAATACCATGCTCAATAAGTAGTTGAGCAGTAGTGTAAATTATATTTCTAAAATGATGATGATGATCTGCATTTACTATTAGGAAAGTAAAGTTTTGTTGTTGTTCCAGTTTTACTGTTCAACCATTGACAATTCTATTTTTGAACAGCATTATTAAAAATAAAACATTTAAGTTTATTTCTTGAGAGATGGATGTGAGCAAATTCTAAATCAGTATTCTTTGCATCAGCCTTAGCCTCAGAGTCAGCTTTCTCATTGCCAGGTATACCAGTATGGCTAGGAACAAATATAAAAGTCAACATTACTTACAAGATCTTTTACATGATTTTGGATATGTAATTTTATTACAACTGCTATTGGGGTTTGATAAAGCCTTAAGAACAGAATGAGAATCATTATAAATATTGACTGTTGCTGTTTAGAAAAACAGCATCAACTTCAGTTTGATAGAAGTGTGTGGGGAGTATCTATACTTTTTGACATATTAGAGCACAACTTATTAACCTGATGGCAGATACAAATGCTTGATATATGCAATCTGTGAGATGGTTTAGAATCATCTGTGTAGATATCTGTCAGCATGGTAATGGAAGAGAGAGATGTGTCTAGAAATATCCTGGGGAGATAGTAATATTTGCAGGGATGTTCACAAACAGCTAGATAATTGTCTTGTTGGGAACATTTGAACTGCCGTATATAGCAGTAAGGAGCTAAATTGTGCCTTGATGTGTTTTGTTCTGATGTAATAATTTAAAACTTTCATTGCAAAGAGGCCAAGGAAGAAATCCCACAAGTACCAAAAAGGCATTAGTGGAGATTGTCTGGCCACAATTGGAGATACTAATAATAAACAGTCTGAAGAGAGAGGAATTCGTCTGCTACTGATTTCTTATAAATTACATGATCCTAGCTGAAGGCAACATAAAGTAACATTGAACAGTGGTTGAATTGCTCCACTATACAGTATTTTATGAGCTTTATTACTTAGACCCCAGGTGCATCTAGCACATTTTAGCAGCATGTAGTTGACTTTTTGTCTTAACCTAGATATATTCAACATGGTGTTGGAAAGTTAGTTTAGGATCAAGTATTTTTTTCTGGTCTACTTTGTGAATTGAACTTCCATTTAATAATAATATTTTGGTGGTTTGCTCTTTATATTTGTTTGTGACAAGAATAGCTTTGGTTATAGATGTACAGAATTGGAGCTGGTTTAGATAGGCCCATTTGGAGGCTACACACATTTCCTTTAGTTTATTTTCCAAAAGTGAATGTCTTTATGTTGACAAATGATGAAGACCAGACTCATCCTGGAGGGCAGGATTTAGTATCAGTTGAGTTGGCTTGGTCATGTTAATTTTACTATTGGTTAGGAATGAAGAAACAAGCATAACAAATAGTTGGGACAATCTAAATTGGAAATTTCGTTAATGATGCTAGGGTGCCAACAGTTGTCGAATGCTTGTTTTATATTCAAAAACATTGCATCAGTAAAAACTTTGTTATTCAGTCTAATTTCTAGAACACTGTAAGGGCACAGACAGCATTCTCTTCACAGTTGTGTTTTTCTGAACTGAATTGGTTTGGGTTTAGTTTAGTTACTGATATATATTAACATTCCACTGCAGTCTAATATCATTTCATCAAAAGCTTTACCTGTTATAAGAAGAATGATTGCTCCATATTTTTTGGAGTGATTAGTATTATCAACATTTAGTTTATTGATAAATAGGATCTTGACAATCTTCCATTGTTCTGGAAAGTAAGACAAGCTTTAGGTAGGAATTGTATAGACCAAGGAGGACTGGTTTCAGGTGAATGAAACACACTTGTAGCAACCTGGCATAAATTAATTTACCTAGATCCTTGAGACCCCATAGAGAAAATACCATTTCAAGCTCATTAGAAGAGAGAACATATTTCAATTGGAACAGAGCAAGCTTTTTGGTAGTTTTCTCTGATAACTTTATAATCAAGGTATTTATGTATAATAATATCCTAGGGAGAATTGTGTTGTCAAGTTCAATAAGGCATTATTGATTTTGTAACTATGATGGGTTATCATTAGTTACCAATAGTATAAGATAAGTGTTATCCCTGCTTAGGATTCTGTGTGTGCACTTCCAAAGATCAACATTTCCCTTAGTATTGCAGTAGTCCTGCCAGGACTTCAACTATGCTGTCTCCATTTCTCTAATATAATGCTTTGTTGACCTGTATTCAGTTTCTTGGATGATTCTCAAATGACAATTTTTCTTTGACATCTGTGTCTAAGAGAATTTACATATTTTTTCAGAGTTATCATTGCTGAGGTCCACCAAGGCACTGCTCTTAACTGAGGAGCTCTTCTAGGATTAGATATCTGTGCTGCTCTTACCAGAATGTTATGAAGTTGAGAAACACATTCACCAATCCCCTGAACAGTGTTGAGTGCACCTCAACACTGTTCAGGATATCAAATTTATTCAGTTCTTCCTGAATTAAACAATAAGACTTTTTACTAATTTGTCTTTTTAGGCAGAAAGAATTGCTTTTGGTGAAGTAGTCAGCTACACCTCTCAATGTAAATAGCCATTTCACTCAATGTACATAGCCAATGTAAATATAAAAATATAAATTTTTTGTACAGTTTTTACATTTTTGATCTGCTAAGATTCATCAAGATTTTATCAGTAAGAAATTTATTGAAAATGGAAGTAGGTAGCTTTGAATTAGGTTCTATTACAAAAATGTTTGGATAAATTAATGTTAACTTTTGAATATAACTTAAAATCTGTTATGTACATGATGATTATAATTAAATTTTACCTTTTCTAGAGTTTTATTGAACAACTAGGATGTCACAAAATTTGGTAGATATTAGGACTTGGTTCCTGAGATTCCTGGTTCTTGGAATTCTTAGAATTAATTAATTTTCTTGGGGAATAAGAGGAATTTTGTTTATATTGAATGCCATAATACAGTAGAGCCTCAAACTTGGCCTAATGTGGACCGAATGGTGGCCAAGTTTATGAAAATGCCGGGTTATCGGGAATGGTGTTAAAAAAAAATAAGTATGAGTGTTTCCTCAGAAAATACTGTACTCTACTTGTATGTATTGTTTACTTGAGAATACAACAGAGAATAAACTGCCCAAATACCCTTAAACAAAGGAAAAGTATGTCCTTTATGAAGGCATAGAGCCTTTACTACATGAAAATGAAAATTAATGAATACACTGTGTACAGTAATTTACCCGATAAGACAGACCTCAGAATAGTACTTTATGAGAGCTTTTATACTTTTATAAAGCTGTCTATAATGAAAATTAATTAACTAAGGATTTTTTTTTGCCCTGCCAGGGTGTGGCCGGGTTATCGAGTGCCGAGTTTTCGAGGCTCTACTGCATATGATTAAAAAAAAGGAATTTATAACAAATAATTAAAATCCATCAAACTCGAAATGCAATTATATCATTAAATCTCTAAATGCAATTATATCATATGCCAATTTTGCCAACTTCATCCTTACTAACTAAAAGATGTAAATTGTTGGTACATTAAAACAAATTTTGGTTTTCTGTTTTCTTTATAAATTGAATTGTTATTGTTTTATGATTTTGTTTTCATTTTTATGTTATCAAGAACTAAAAGAACAAGGAATTCACATGTGAAATTGCTTTGAACTTTAAAAATACAGTAGAGCATTGATTATCTGACCTCCCCGATCAACTGTCATATCAGTTAACTGACCGTGTTGTAGTTGGCAAATTCAAATGTCTGCTAGTGATGTAATGCTACAGTACTACATGAAAGGGAGACGAGCATTTAAATGAGACTTAATTTTCTAGTTATGAGTGGTTGTTTGTTTTGTGAGCAATAAAATAATTTTTAATGATACAATAGTGACAATTATTATTTAAAAAAAACATTTTGTTAGGTTTAACATCAATGAAAATTCAACGCAAAGTAGGTTAATAGCAATATACTAATTACATGGGATATACTAATATACTATACTAATAATGTATTTTTTCATACTTTTCAGTTATCTGTTTTTTCAGTTATCTGACCAACCCCAGCTCCCAATTGAGTCAGATAATCAATGCTCTACTGTAAATTAAATTACAAAATGCAAAACATGCAATGTTTAATTTAATTATACAAGATGCTTTAAAAGTAGACTTTTGCATTTAACTTTAGAAAGATTTAATTTAATACATTATTACAAATTAGCTTAGTAGAGTTCAGATTAGGTATTTATTGATAAGTATATTTTAAAAAATTTAAATTATAGAAGAAATTGTATAATTTATTTTAATCTTCTTTATTCTAAAATCTGAAAGATGCTATTAAATGTGGCCAAAAATATT